AACATCCACTAGAGGCCCTTGGGATGATGAAGGGAGTCAGGGAGTGAGGTGGGGGATGAGCTGTTCAGGGGTCTGCCCTGGGGGAGGACTGGGGGGTCAAGGCTCTGCTGGGGAGCTGGCATGGAGGATTCCCTAGACCTGGGGGCCATTGGAGTCCAGGGACATTGTGTGCCTGCCCCTTCCTAATGGTCCCCCAGCCCTTCCCCCAGCTCACTAGTGACCACTCCTGGCCCTGACTTCTCTTTTCTCTCTCCAAGGACTGTGTCCAAATGGGGCCATGTTCTTCCTGACCCAGGTCTATGTCGCCTGGGGCAGGCACTGGCACTGCAGCCCCTGCCTCCATCCCCACCTCCATATCACAGATGAGTATTTTTGGCGACTTCTCCCCAAAATAAAATCTTTCATCTTGCACTTTGCTGACTGTGGACGAGGGTGACTGGCCCAGTATCCTCTCTGGAGGGTGGCTTTGCCTGCCCCACATGGGTGGGTGAACCTGCTGGTGACCCTCCTTGGGCCACCACCCCAGGGTCAGCCTCCCAGAGCCACTGTCCAGAACCACCGTGGCTGACCCTCAGCAGAGAATTGCAACCAACCGCCCCTCCTCTGTCATACTTCCCACAGTGGCAAAGGGCCTGAGCTGCCCCAGGCCTGTGTCATTGGCAGAACAGGAGTTTTAGGGCAGGGACATTGGTGTGACTCCCAGGGTCACACAATGAAACCTCATCTCTCCAGCTCCTGCCCAAGAGGCCATAGTTCTTGGGTGCTGTACACAGGTATGAGGCCTGGACTTCTGCGAGGCAGGGAAGAGAGGTATGGCCTGGACTGGGTAGACAGGCAGCTAGGGGTTCCTGGGGGAGCACCCCATGCCAGCCTTGTCCCCTGAAGCCCTGACATGAGGGCAGCCATGGGCACCTGGGCATGCCACTCTCTACCCCTCATATCAATCCCCTCGGCCCCTCAAAGCTGCCTTCCCAGCCATTTCCCAGGTTTACATCAGAATCAGTGCCCTAGTTGGTTCCTGCAGCTGAGGGAGGGAGGAGGGAGGCCCAGGTAGGTCTCTGTGTGATCGTTTGCATCCTGACAGGCCCTCTCAGTGCTCCTGAAGGTGGGAAGCCGCAGTTCCAACTGCAGCCTGCCCGAAGCAATCATGGAAGACGACAGTCCTCTCCCCCATGGGGGTGGGGGAAGCTGGCCTTTGGCCTGATCCCACGTAGAGCTGCAGGCAGAATCCTTGCCAAGGACAGTGGCAGAACTCCCCCTCCTAGATCCCAGCCCCAGGGGGTGGGCCCTGAAGGCCTTGAAAGCTGGAAAGGAGATGCTGTGCCCACTCCCAGGGCAGCTGCCTCAGGACGGTGGCCCACTCCACTCCAGCAAGGGAAGGCACTTGGGGAGTGGCCAGAACAAGGGATGGGGTCAGCAGAGTGGGGATTTCAGAAGGCCTTAGTTCCAGCCTCCTCCTCTGCAAAGGGGACCACAGCTCCTAGCCTGGGACACAGCAGTAGGGCCAGGCTGGACAGGGAGTAGGGAGACCCAACTATCCTAGTCTGCCTGAAGGGGGGAGGTTCCTGGAACTTTCAGTTTTAAGACAGATAAATTGGTCATATGAGGAGGAAGTCATGTGGGCTGGCCAGGTACATAGAGTTGCATGAATGAGCCAGGCAGGAAGGGGAGGGAGATGCCTCTTGCCAAGCAGAGGGTCCTGCCTCGAGGTGCTGCTAGAATGGAGATGCTGTGTGGTGATCACCCTGCACCCCCAAACCCAGTCCCACAATCCACCGATGCAAGTCAAATGGTCACTGAACATTTCCGCTCTTTCGGTGCCCATGAATTCATTAACTGTAAGGTATAAACAACCGAGAAGTTTCCCAAACAAGTTGATCTGCATTGAAAAAAGGCACCACCAGTACCCAGAAGCAGGATGCCAAGACGTGGCAGTTAAGGCAGTGCCTTCTGGGCAGGTACTCTGAAATCAGACCAGACTGGTCCCCATCACCATCCTGGCCGGCTTGACCCCTGACATTGAGTGCATTTAGGGGCTCTAGGAAAAGACCCTCCAAACCCCCACACAATCGCCAGAAAAGGGTTTCTCTTCTCTCTCCCCTTCCTCCTCTTGCTCATGGCTTCACCAGGATCCACAGAAAACATCCCCACTAGTATTTGCAACTGTTTTTCCCAGAACTCTGCCAGCAGACTCCCAGCACCTTGTGCTGTGCCACTGACAAGACCTTGACCACCCTGGAAGTCGGCCCTCCCTCCCCCTCCCCTGGAGGATCCAGCACCCCACCCTGAAACAGTGGTGTTCTTTTAAGGCTCATCTGAAATACATATATTGCCCAATCATAAGCTGTGCCTAAGCAACCAGAGACCTTTCCAAAGGCAGGATTGGAAACAGCTTTGCCTCAAAATATCTCCTTTTGGCCCAACCCAGGCAACCTCCCCAACACTGACACTGGGAAGTAACCAGAGTCAAAGCCTGTCTGTCCTCAGATGAGTCCTATGAAAAGCCCCTCAGAGACCTCCAGGGCCACAGCAGCCCCACCCACTGGGTTTGGGCACCAGCCTCAGGAACAGCGTGGTTTTCTTCAGAGGCACAATGTGTTCTCAGAGAGCCCTAGAAAGACCCTGGGGACCCTCAGCAGCCCTGGGAGCGTCCCCATCATCCAGAGAATACTGCAGGGAAACAAACCCTTCTCTCTAAAGCTGTGTGGAAGAGGAGCCCTGCCTGCCCACAGAAAGCATTTTAGTCACCACTCATCTACCAGGTGCCCCTCCACCCCATGGAGCAGGGCATTTACATCCAAAGCTCCTCGGGGAAAGCAAGATCCCTTTCAGAGATTCCAGCCGATTCCAAGATGGGAGTTGTACACACACACATCCTGGTGGCCAGTGGAGTGAGCTGGCTGGCCAAGGGCAGGCTGGCTGCATCCCCACTGTGATGGTTGGCTTCAGCCAGCTGTGGCCTTGAGGGAACTTAGGCAATATTACAAATTTCCAAGACAAGCCAGAAGTGAGGCTTTTCATGTAAACTCCTGATTTGAAAATGCTGGCAAATAAAAACACTATGCAAGCCAAACAGCACACATCAGGAGACTGTGAGCTTGCAACCCCCTAAGACAACCACACCTTGTCTTTTAACGGCAGGCCACAGGGCGCAGCTACCTCGTCTCCTGGGGAGGCCAGGTCTTCATTCCCACGTGCTGCCACATCCCCTCTTCAGAAATGAGACACACAAAGCTCAAATCGCATTCTTTTAAGCAACATCATGGATGCAAATGGTATTTTTTAGAGTGGAATTTTGGAAACACAGTAATTTGTAGCTCAAACCTGGTGGTCATGTAGGATGTGACCAAGCCCAGAAGAGGCTGGATGTTGAGGTGACAAGGCCGGTTTTCCCAGGAGGTGCCCAAGAGTCACCTGAGATTCAGCTGAGCCTGGCTGTAAATATCTGTTCCATTCATGTACCACCACCTTTGTTTTTAGCCAGTTTACACTTGCCTGTGTAGTGATGGCTATAGATGCCTTCAGTTTTATTCCCGGGCTTGGGGAAGTTAAGGAAGGTTCCTGGTTCTCGGTGTCACATTCAAAGTTTGAGGGCATGTGGCACCTGCGTAGGCACCTCTGGCTCCCCTTGAGTTTGGGCGGCTCACTTCTGCAGCCATTCCCTTGCTTTGAGATACTCAGACAGGGGGCTCCAGACACACCTGGCAGGGCCCCTCTCAGCACTGCTGGAAAGTACCCGAGTCCCCAGGTCAGCTCCAGCCCTGCCTCTGCTTCCTCCTGCTCTGGGTCCCACCTTGCCTGGGGCATTTATTAAAAATCAGATCACTGGGTCCTCCTCCAGAACGGTTGCCTCAAGCACTTAGGGGACCCTTATGCTTTGTAAATTTGGTCGTTGGGAAAGGCACGTGTTGGGTCCGAAGCACTTGGGAACTATTTAACCTTTAATAACAGCTTTCACGCAATTAACATGCTACAAAGTCCACCCTTTTAAAGTGTGCAATTTAATGGTTTTTAATTTGTTCACAAGTCAATCACCAGTATCCTGGGTGTTTAAAACTATACTGTCAGGGTCTCCCCTCCTGAGATTCTGACACTGTGGGACCAGGGTCTGGGGGTGCTTCTTTTTGGAGCTCCCAGGAGGCTCTGCTGTGCAGCTAGCCATGGGACCAGTTCTGAGCACGGGCTTCTCCATAGGGAAGGGGGGGACAAATTGCCATGTCTAGACATTTTGGTTGTCACAACCGAGGGGTGCTACTGTCATCTAGTGGGTAGGGGCTGGGATGCTGGCCAATACCCCACAGTGCACAGGTGCCCCCATGGTACACGGTGATCCAGCACCAATGTCCACAGTGCCCAGGCTGGTAAAACTGTGTCTACAGAAACCTCAAGTCCCTTCCAGCCTAATGTGACCCCCTGGGACTTCCAGGCCCAGCCCACATGGTCCCCAGAAACAGAAATGGGCCTCACCTCCAACAGACCAGCACTGGCCTAAGGTCTGATCTCTAGCAAGCCCCAGGTGATATTGCTGGTCTGAGGACCACACTTTGAGCAGTGAGGGTGTGGTTCATGTACAGACCACACAGGGGCCAGCCTGGGGTCGGGCCCCTGTTGTCTCCAGAACAGCAAATTCTAGACGGTACAGTCTCCTGTGGTTCCAAAGCACACAGCCACCCCAGTAATCAGCTCACTAGGAGAGCCCAGGCATGTTCACCCCACAAAGCTGATAAGCCAGAAAAGCTTGCCCCTGCAAAGCATTTTCCTACCACTTCAAGAGGGAGTGTGCCAGTTTCCTGAGAATTTTCTTCCACCCAAAAGAATGAAGCAGAGCTGTGAACTCTCTGGACTCTGAGGCTGTTGGAAAGTGAGGACACACTTTCAGGATGTAAGCAACAACTCAAGTGGGGGCCCAGAGGTCGGTCTTCAGCGACAACCAGAGTAAACAGTCATCCCAGGTGAGCTTTGTCAAGAGCCTGTCCAGGTTCTAGCAGGGCGGAGCAAAGCTGGGCAGTGGCACCGTTGTCAGAAAGCACAGCCCCATCCCTGGGAGCAAGAGAGCACTGGTGGTGGTGAGTGCTAAGATGTATCAGGCAGGAGGGCTTCTGAAATAGAAAACTCTCCAACCTAGGAGCAATCCACATAGGACTCAGGTGCCAACGGGCGGGTTTTCCCCGAACACGGAGGTCTTCTGGTGAGGAACTGCAGAGGGCCCCAGGGACCCACTCCCCCGGTGTGGACAGCCTAGGGCACTATGGGGCATCTGGCTTTTTCCTTGGGGCTAGAGCAGGTACCTGCCCCAGCCCAGTTCAGAAGCAGCCTGGATCCAGTCTGTTGCCCCTGTGTGGCCCGTCACCTTAGTGACCGATAGTTTGAACACTGGTTGGACTCTGCCCCAGCCTGGTCCTGTCCCTGTCACTAGCCCCCACTGGCTCTGCATTCAAGCCTGCTGACTACAGACACTGTGGCCTGTGCCTCCCCGGGGGAGGGCCCTGGCTTCCCCCAGGCACTTTTGCTGGAGGCTGGGCTTGAGGGACCAGCCCTCAGCCAGCCACTGGGGCCCTGAGACAGGAAGAAAGGTCCTTATGTGAAACTCGGGCAGACCGGAAGGCAGTTAGCCCTGGAGGTCGGCATCCCTCTAGCCAGGAAGGGGGAAGGGTGGGTAGATAGAGGCTGGGATTCTGGGAACACAGGCCAGAAACTAACTTCATGGGAAAAGCCTTGGGTAGGCAGGAAGATTCCAGAGTATGTTGTGGTTGAAAAGACAGCAACACACAGGAGCAGTGTGGAGCCAGGCGGGACTGGAGGGTAGCCCTCTATTCTGGGCTCAGTTTGCGTCCTTCCCCCCACCCCCCCCACAGAGCCAGCTGGCAGCAAAACTTAGGATAAGAGGCAAGACCACAGAGCCTGGTGGTGGTTTGGAACTCTTTCTTCTCCTTTGTTAAAAGGGGTAAAGGAAACGGGCATGGGGTACCCCCGGGCTCTGGGCGAGGCATGCAGGCAGTCCCAGCAGGCAGGCACTGGGGGATGGGTGGGAAGAGTCCTGGAGTTTCCCACAATCCTTTTCTCTGCAGGGATCAGCAAGGCTGGCTGCTGAGGGGGT